TCGTTACCGGCGACCCAGAGGGCAAAGGGAAGGCGCGCGCTCGTTGTTACCACGCCGTCGCGCCACGGGGCTTGTCGAGCTGTGCGCGAACAGCGTCCGCCGAGGCACCGCCGTTGGCACCGCCGGCGGCGTCGCCGGCACCGAGGCTGTGCGGACCTGTACCCTCGTGGTGGTCCTCGCGCTCCTCGGCCTGGACGGCCTCCTTGGTGGCGAGGATGCACTTGTGGTTGGCGAAGCAGTCGCGACCGAGCCACCAGCGCATAGACTCGGCGCTAACGTAGACGGGGGCGAACTGGAACATGCGGTTGCGCAGGTCGCGCTCCCAGCGTTCGTCGGACCAGTCGAAGAGAAACGAAAAGACCTTGTAGCCGAGCCAACCGTAGAGGCGCGGCGGCAGCAGGCGGTGCATGGTCATCATGAGGGGGATGAAGGCGCCGAGGCCAAAGACGATGCGGAAGAGAGCCGGCGAGATGACGCGCATAAACTTGAAGTAGGCCTTGCCGATGAGAGGGCCCGCGTACGCCGCCGGCGCGAGGGCGCAGAAGACGGTGAGGCGGTCACCGAGGTCGGGGCGCTGCTCCTTGGCCAGGGCCACGAGGGTCTGCGTCGTGCCCTGCGAGTGGGCGATGAGGCCGATCTTTTCGAACCCCGTCTCGCGCAGCACGCGTGACACGAGGGCCGGGAGGTCGAAGACGCCCATCTGGCGGATGTTCCAGCAGAAATGGCGCGGGTCCGAGTACGACAGGATCGTGTGCTTCGGATGGAAGCCACACCGGTTGTTGCCGAGCCAGACGTCATACCCGGACTTGCAGAGGTAAAAGGCGAGCGAGTCCTCGTCGTTGACGCAGTAGGCGCCGGCGCTCTGCAGGAGGCCGTGCATCAGGAGGACGGGAAATCTGGGTTTGCCGGTCGAGTCTTTGAGCTTCTTCCTAGATTCGGTGAAGACGTGGGGGCCCCGGGCCTGCCGCTCCTCGTCGCTGAGCTTGGTGTACTCCTTCGGGTCGTAGACGTGCCACAGGTCAATGATAAAGCCGTCTTCGGTCTGGACGTGAAACTCCTCAATGTCAAGGCCAACCCGTCGTGCGTAGTAGCCCGGGTCACAGACGATAGGGTCGCGGCCGCCCTCGGTGGGCACGTATTCATCAGCGACCTCCTCTTTGTCTGGACCAAGTCCCTTTTTGAGATTGTTCTGCTTCCATTTCATGTTGAGATCGTTTCGCGCCTTCTTTCTCTTCACTTCTTCGGCGTAGAAAGGTCTCGTCTCGTCAATGTTGCGAAGGGTAACCTTGTACCAGACTTGCTTGGCGACGAGGGGTATGCTCGTGAAGAGTGCGCCCAGGACAATGACCATGAGGAAGGCGAGGCTCAGCCAGAAGGAGGTGGAGCGAAAGATCAAGGTCTGGATGTCGCGCAACAGAGACGGCGGCCCGTAGAGGGGCAATGGCGGAAACAAGGGGTTCGTGTGGGAGGGAGGCATCTGGCGACGCAGAGAACCCGACTGGGATTTCTGCATGTCATGGCCCTTTTGGTCAGGAGCGACGGCAATCTGGTCGGTGGATTGCGAGTGACGGGCGGCGGCCCCATCCTTCGCGTCGCCTTCCTGCTTGATCTGCACAACGTGAGGGCCATCCTCGAGCTCTTCCCTCAGCAAGTTGAGCTTGTGGGCCTCTTCGAGGGGCACGCCGGGTATCCTGTGACCCCCTGATGTGACGACGACGGGGTCGTGCGGGGTGATGAAATGAGCCTCGACGGGGACGTCGGCGTCATTGTCGTCGTCGGCGGCATGGTGATGGGCAAGCTTCTCGGCCTGCTGCGAAAAGTTGAGGGCAGACTTGGCGAGCGAGGCGGCGGATCTGTGGGAGGAAGTGGTTGTGGTCGATGCGCCGCCGGTCGATGAGGAGGTGGGTGGAGGATGTGAGCGATCCGAAGGCGGTTCATTGGCTGGGGTCTCGACTTTTGTTGTTGTTGATGTTGGTCGTGGGGGCGGCTGGGTCATGGTGCGCGAGCCAGAGCGCGAGGAAGAGTCGCCCATCGTTGGGGAGAGGGTGTAGTGATGTTGGTGTGCATGGTTTTGCACCCTCAGCCTGGTTGACATCGGCAGGCTTCGTCACCGAGTACCCAGCCAGGCCTTGATGGATGAAAGCGTGGATGCGATGAGCGGCAGTGCGGCACCGAACAGGGGGCCAGAGTGACCACAGTCGAACCTTGGCTGAGGTACCCAGAAAGGCAATTGATGGCGCAGAGGTACCTGATGTAGGGCCAGAAGACAGGGCTAGAGGACAGGGCCAGAAGACAGGGGGCGTTTTGTGGAGGAGATGCAGATTCGATGCGGCGATCATCAGACGGCGGGCAGTCGGTTGACAAGACGCCTGACAAAAACACAGGTAGAGCTTCCCCGGGGGTTATGTATCCTGGGATACCAACAGCGAGAAGGAAGGCGATGCAGCATGATGTCGACGAAAGAGGTCAAGGGAGAGAAATGTCCGGTGGCGGCTGAACTGCATGTCCATGAGGGTGTTGGGTGTTGAGGCTCGCTCGCCTCTCGTTGCTCTTGCCAGGCTCACCCATCCACTAGTGCCAGGCTCAGTAGTTCCCTTAGTACGTGCAACCGGAGCATATGCAGTGCAAAACGTGCCCCCGAGACATGGGCGAGGCGCCACTGGGTACCTACCTAGGTAGGTAGGTAGGTAGTTAGCTAGCCTTGGGGCTCCTGCTATGTGTGTGTGGATAAGAGGAATCAAAGACGCAAGCACGCAGCACGCAGCACGCATCCGCCATGCCAGCCAGACCACACCCTGACACCTACGTCATGGCGCGAGCTAAGAGCGTGCTGTAGCGCTCTCTGGGGCCTGAAGTGTGCTGAAGCCATGCACTGGGGACGCCTGCGGGTGGGGACACACGATAACGTCGATAAGGATGGAGGCATGTGAATGCTGACTGTTCCTTCCTGACGCACATCGGTACTTGCAGCATCGACGCGGGCAGGAAGGGTCCACGCATTCGAGCAGCACTGCCCCACTTCCCCTCAGACAGCTCCCTCCATTGGCCACAACCTGCCGGCCCTTCCCCCCCAGAGCTAAGCCGAGGCCTGGTGGTGCGCTCGCGAGTGCCTGCCGCAACCGAGCCGCGATCGACTCAACTCCAGACCCTAGACCTCGTTCCACAGCAAGGCTCCGCGACAGCTTTCTCTCAGTACATACGCCATGCCATTGACTCCAATGCGCTGAGAATCCATCTGTTCTTTTTGTTTCTCTCCTTCGTATATACCCATCATGGCTTCTGCCATCCTCGCCAAACGCAGGCGTCGTCGCCGAAGGGCCGACAAGCCAGCTGCCGCCGCGACCCTCCTCCTCGACGGCAATGTCAAGGGCGATGTCGGCTTCCTGTCCGACGACCTCTTTGCTGATCTGTTTCCTCAGCTTTCCAACTGTGAGACAGCCTCCATCTCCCCCCTTCTTCTATGCTCCCCCATTGTCATCAACCCCCGACTGACCCGCCCGCCCCTCCGCCAGCATCCTCCGACGACATCCAACACGTGGCCATCGCGCCCTGGGCTCCCACTGCCTCTCCGACCAAAACATCATGGACCCTGGTGCCCGTCCTCAAGAACCCCGAGCTGGGTCCCTCTATCCTGCAGTTCTCCCCGAGGTCCCTGGCCCTGCAGTCCTTCCGCACGGCTCTGCAACACCTGGCCCCCTCCAAGCTCATGGGCAACGCCCGCGGTGGCATTGAGATTCTCGTCCTTGATGCCGTTGCCCTGCCCCTCGACACCGTCTTTGTCAATCTCGAGAAGGAATCCATCAAGCGTCTGGAACAAGGCGAGGGCCACTTCTTCAACAGCCACCCCGACCACGACACCAAAGGCAAGGCCAAGGCCAAGACGGCCACCTCTCCTGAGGATCATCTCACCGAGGCCCTGCGCGTCGCACTGGGCAACGTGGCTGTCATACACTCTGGCGACCAGTTTCTTCTGCCTCTGCCGCCTCATCCCGTCACCCACGTGCCGCCCAATGGCGGCGAGATCGTCATGTGCGAGCCCTATAACCAGGGCATCTTGACGCCCGACACCAAAATTGTGCTGATGCGCGGCAACGTGCGCGCCAAGTCTGGGCGCACGCCGGCCGCCATGGCCGCGAACCGTGGACTCAACGGCGTGCCCGAGGACGACGAGGACACCGCCAACGACCAGTTCTACTCGGCCGCCGAGGAGCGCTACAAGACGGATGCCCACGTCACAGAGATGGAGACGGTCACAGAAACAGAAGAGTCTGAGGCCTCGGGGCTCGAGCAGGATGACGAGAGTTCTGACGACTCCATGGACGAGATGATCTCTCTTCAAGCACCCATGCTGCACACAAAAAACGCTAGTGGCGTCTCCACGATGCAACCGGGCTCGCCCATGACCATTGGCAGGGGGGAGGCGGCCCAACGGCATTGCGACACCCCGGCTCAGTCTTTTTCGTCTTACACTGCGACGACAGCGCGACCGGACCC